AACGTTTGCTTTTAAGATAAAGTTTCAAATCGTCCAATCTATCTTCTAATATTTTTTTATCGCTAACAACCGTGACTAATTTCGATGCTAAACCATATGGAATGTTAAGCTTAGTGTGTTTAGCATGATTTGAAAAGAAATCCAAATAATTGTGAGAATCTGTAGGTTTACAATATATATCGCTAACAATATTTTGTCCTTTAATTTCTACAAAAATATCCAAGAAAGGTATTCCTTTTTCACTTAACTCCATTGTGTAATTCAAATCGGGATGCAAGGCATTTAGCATATTGAAAAATTCCAGAAGATTCTCACCTGGAGGCCAAATAATAAAGCAATCATCTAGAAATCTCAAAAAGTTGTCTTTAAAATAATTTGCAAAAGTAACACTAAATGTGTTTTTAACATTTGTATAAAGTTTATCTTCTAAATACCCAAGGACAAGCGTCGCATAGGTAGGGGCCACCTTTGTTCCCATTGCAGTACCTTTACACTGTTGGTAAAAATTACCATTAAAACAAAACGTATTGTTTTCCAATACAATTTTTAATGCTTCAACAATGAATTGTTTATCAAATCTAGAATCTACTTTTCCAGGACATTTATTCAACCAATAGCTAATGGCCTCAATTTCCAAATTATATGGAATATTTGTATACAAGCTTATTACATCAAAAGTTACAAGTTTACAACCCTCCTTAACTTGATTCGGCAAATGAGACAAAAAATCTATATCGTCACGTATCAAACTCTTTACCTCCGTACATAGAGGTTTCAGAAGCAAGTCTAAAATATGACTTAAACGTTGAGTAACGCTTTCCGGACCACCAACACTATAGGTCTGAATTTAAGATCGTTGGGAGATTTAAGGCAAATGTATTCAGCACCTTGCTCTTTGATAGCTTTTGAAATTAATTCACTTTGTTTTTTTCTTTGAGACCCTCCGCCTTCGTCTTTTGTTGCGCCTCGGTCTAAAAAAGACTTCTGTCCGATATAGGTTGTCCCCTTGTAAGAAACCGGAAGTATCGCACTATAGCTCATCCTTCGATCACTTAATATATCTTAATATTCTACTTGGCGGCGTTGGTATTTTCTTGCTATAATGTTGAGTCCTGTCCGGTGTGCTCATCCGCTGCCTTCCCGTCAATACAGTAGGTGACATGACAGCTTCTGAATAGGTTGTATGTTTAGACTCAACCGTTGCCGATATCTGCTTTTTAGGAAGTGATTTTGTACTTGTAGGTAGTTTAACTTTACTTGGTGGCGATCTTATAGGTTTCTCCCTTTCGGTGACGAAGATTTCTTCACCAAAATTGTCTGCATACTCCGCATACCACTTTTGTTTTGTTGACCATATCTCTGCTGACTTGTTTTCTTGATTATAACACTCGTTATTCCACATGTCAATCAATAAATCCACCACCTTTGGATTTCTTGTTTTCTGTCGAATGTCATTTTCGATGTCAAGATCTAGAGATGAAAACTTTTCCTGGAATCTGCGGGCTTTGTTTTTCATTATCTTGATTTCAGATTCGAAACGTAAAATTGCCGTTTCTCTCCGACTTTTACAATCCGCTTCAGTTTCTCCAGCAATATACCTCGGACGAAACTTCCTGGGAAGAACGGTCTCCGAGTTACCCAGCCATCCTTCATATATTGCAGTATGTATATTATATACATGCACAACAGTGCTGTTAAACACATTTGTCCTTACGTTTTGACAGGACACTGACAGGAATATTATTGGCAATAGCGATATACATAAATATGACAATGTCATTTACATTTTTACATTGACGGCGATACTGCAAAGGGCCGTCGAACAGCATCAACATGCAGGTAGACTTGTTTGGCTTGTGTCAATACCATGGTTTGCCGGTACCTCGAGGTCACCACTGCCACCACACCGCAGAAACGATAACATTAAACGGTGTCGAGCGCTTTTATTATAAATTGTGAATATGGCAATGTTCTACTTACCTTACATGACCCTGCACTCTTCCGGTTTTCCATTTCAACTTCTGCCGTAACGTGTTATGTTGTAAAGTGTCCTAAAGTTGTAAACGTTGTCAGGCGGGATATGAATGTTGATGAAATATTTGTTTGAATGATGGCGCATTTATTTATAACAAATAACCCTTTGAAATTATAATGTGACGGCTGAAAATGGTATGTAAATTAAAAAAATAAAACAATTTCCATAAATGTCGTAAACTTTTTACTTTGGACGAACTTGATTCAGGCGTGCCGTTTACCGCCGGGAAGGCGTGCAACCTTCCTACTGATTACGTATGTCCCTCAAGTCCCGCATGTTCGGCACCTGCCGTTCGATTAGAAGTTTCGCCGGACTGTAGAGACATGCAAAGCGATACAAAATGTTATTTGTGTCCGCCTAATTAAGTTTGCCCTTTTGCTAGGTGACGTTTTCTTTTGTCATTGCGTGAATAGATGATAAAGAAAAAGAGACGTTATTGGGCCTTTCTACCTGAACTTTTTATTCCAAAATTTAATTTGGTTTAAAAAGAAATTTTACCAATATAGTCATTGGTCAGACATAAACATCTCAATCAATCAATAGCAATATATAATATAACAGTCTACCCCTTCGGGAACCTCAAAAGTGACTGATTCATATTCGGAACATCTTTAGTTTGAAATTCGGAACGCCTTTTGGTTGTATGTTAGATCTATTCCTAAAATCGATATCGGAGTTATCAAAAAGCTTGTAATTAGCGACAGAAGCAAACACACGAAAGCTGAAACAGTGGAGGTCAAAATCTGGGACTGAAACCAAAATTAATAGTCCCCGCTGGGGTTCCCCCAGGGGTGACTAAAAATAGTAGGAGACGGAATAGAGTAACACAGGAAAATTGTCGATAGTTACCGTATAATAGTGTTAGGTTCAACACAGGGAAATTGTAGATAGTTACCGTAGAATAGTGAAAAGGGCAACACAGGAAAATTGAGATAGTTACCGAGGGCAACGCAGGAAATTTGTAGATAGTTACAGTGGGAAACGCAGGAAAATTGTAGATAGTTAAATGAGTTGACGGGAAACCGAGAAAAAGGTGTAATCAGAAACGTGCTACCAGGATCATACTTACGGGTTAAAACGCGAGAAAGTGTGGATGTGCAACGCGGAGAAAGTGTTAAAGGGACAAAACAAGAAAAAGAGCAGAGAGGAAAGTGTGCCCTAAACTTTCCACGTTTAACCATTGACACACGTGAACATATAAAACCAAACAAACAAAGTCTCTTTCCCGACTGGGAACAACATATTATTTATATTGTTTATAAAAATATATCTTTCTCGACAATTTTGATTAGATATATGTACCGGTATCTCTTTTCAATATACATGTATGATATATATTGCACTTTGTTAGTGGAAAGGATATTTGTCATCGCGTGAACACAATTACATCATCGTAGTACTTTTTAGTTTGGATACCAATACTGAATACTGTCGCACCTGGGTTAAATAGGACACAATGAATGACACGTCACACAGGTAGACGACATTGTAGGTATGACAGTAACAATACAGCCTACACACGCTTCCTCAATATGATATAAGAAATATCAAACTGTCAACAAAACACGGTCTAGATTACTAATTTGAACTAGTTGTCAGTACAAACACACAGTGGTACGAACCTGAGAGATACCCAATCGGAGAGAGAGATATTGAACCTACAGACAACCGGAAATGAAACTAGGTATTTTTGAATCGTAAGCATGGAAGGCAGTACATAAGTACTATATTGTTTTGTCGTCAAACGTTGTCGTCATAGTTAACATTATCATTTTATTTATGCTTCTTTTGTATATTCCATCATAGACAGAAATATAGGGAGGGGGGAGGAGAACACATATCTAGTACTTAAACGACCCTTTATCAATACGTCTGTAATCCAAGCACAAACGAAAAGTGTCGTTTCCTCGTCAATGCGGTAGAATAGAACTTATCATTCCTGTGTGATACAGACAGTGAAATCTCAACCCGAGGGTCATATTCCTGTGTGATACAGACAGTGAAATCTCAACTCGAGGGTCATATTCCTGTGTGATACAGACAGTGAAATCTCAATCCGAGGGTCATATTCCTGTGTGATACAGACAGTGAAATCTCAACCCGAGGGTCATATTCCTGAGGTTTAACACGGGATTGTATCGAGTGCTAAACTTAAACAAAATCTTATCCCCATAATTTAGAGTCCACTGTCTACATCATAGATTCAAATCTTGTTGAAATGTAGGTAAACGCAATACACGGTGCCATCATCAATATTACATGAATTACGTGACCAAATTGACGACATGTCCCTATTGGGATATAGTAACGACAACATCCCCCCGTAAAGTGGTGATGACACGAGCGAATTATCTTTCCCTGGGAAGGTTTCGATACATTTATCCTTTCATGAGCAGAAGATTTCTATACAAATACAAAATATCTCTTCGAGATCTACTTGAAAGTTGAAATGTTTTAGTGACATATGTTTGTATAGAATTCGGGCTATTCTTATAGAAACATGACTACATGACTTTGAAACTGTTTTAGGGAAGCGTCTGCATGATATTTGGAACTTTTCAAGAAAAGTACATACTTACATTGTGTTTAAACTGTTCTAAGGGAAACATGTATGAAAGATATTTTTTGGGTGTTCGGGTGGTACAGTGGATAGCGCACTTGCCTTTCACCAAGGCGGCCGAGGTTCGATTTCCCGATCGGACGTTAAAAGTTATGGGGTCACCTGCCCGGCCACGTGGGTTTTCTCCGGATTTCTCCCACATAAAGACTCCCCGCGCGCTAACACCCGGGCCAGCAAGAGTGATTAATATAAGTTGAACTAACTTTTTTCATATGTCTGCATATCATTTATCATTTTTCAGAAATAAACATGTTTTCTACATGTATACGTAGATACTTAGCCTCGCCAGTGAAAATGTCTGTTGTCAAACTAATCTAGATTGTATCAAGACTATGCCCTCGGAGGAACCGCTTCATTTGACTTTTTCTTGATGACCATTTCGGTACGAGGTCATCAGGCATCCTATCATCGTTGTCCTTTTCCTCAGGACTAGCTCCATGTTTGATTAACAGGCGGACAGCGTTAGGGCGACACCACTTGCAGGCATAGTGTAAAGGGCGACAACCCTGTTTGTCAACACAGTTCACGTCTACTCCACATTCCAGTAGATAACTCAAACAGTCATTGTTCCCATGCTGACTGGCGTAGTGAAGGGGTTGTTTCCCCTTGCTGTCCACAGAATTGGTGGATGCCCCTTTCTCCACCAACATCTTTACAACATCTATGTTTCCCCTTCCACATGCATAATGTATAGGCTGTTTCCCCTGCGGCCCACGATGGTTAACGTCGATGCCATGGTTCACCAATGTCTGTACACATTTCAGGTTCCCGCTCTCACAAGCGTAAAATATAGGCTGGCGTTCATAGTCATCCATAATACTGGGGTCTGCTCCCTTGGAAAGCAGTAACGTTACACAGTCGAACCGTCGATCGCGAGCCCAGGTGCATGCATAATGAAGAGCAGTTTTACCAAAACTGTCCACAGCGTTCACATCACTTACTACGTTCAGGAGAAGCTGGACACATCGGAAAGAATCACGTCCGTCTTGCTCCGGTCCACCAAATTTACAAGCGGAGTGTAATGGTAGTCTCATAGAAGCGTCCACTTGATTAGGATCAGAACCATTACTCAAAAGAATCTCAATGTTCTCGGCAAAATTAGCCTTACAAGCCAAATGTAGAGGAGAAGCCCCCATGCTGTCAATACTGTTAATGTCAGCCCCATTGGACACCAGGTATCTAATGAGAGCTGGGCAATGGGCAGTAGACGCGTAGTGAAGAACATTCTTATCCATTCTGTCAGGAACATTCAAATGGGTTCCTTCCTGCTGTAGAAACTGGACACACTCTAGACTGCCAGCTATACCGGCGTAATGAATTGCCTGTCTGTCGGTCCTGTCCTTGGCCGACAGGGACGCGTTATTGTTGTGTAACTCCTTTAGTATCTCTAGACGTCCAAATTCACTTGCGTAATGTACCGCCTGCTTCCCGTTGTGGTCTTCTAGATTGACATCCGCGCCGTAACGCATCAGCAGCTTTACCATATCGAGACTTCCCTTCTTACATGCGACCTGGAGACACCGGTAAGACATAGACCCACATGCAAAGTTGACCCTGGCGCCGTGATCTAATAACGCATTGACAACGTTCAAATGTATTCTATCGACGGCCTCCATTATACAACTATCTGGTATAGTCAGAACTGACGCGTTCACGACGTTATCAGCTTTCAATAACTTCTGCTTCTCCAACAGAACTTGAACGAGAGAGACGAACCCCTTCTTGCAAGCCAAGAACAGAACGGTTTCTTTAAATTGGTTCTTTGACGAAGTGTTTGCCTCCTCTGCATTAGTGAGCAGCTCCATGGACGCTTTTGGAGCTAGCTTTCTTATTCGATCAACAAGAGCAGACTGCATATCAACGTCACGGATACTTGGATTAACGAACATAGCCCGGATTATACCACGTGACGCATCTGCGATCCACCTGGCGGCCAATACGTGATACTTAGATTTCTTCAACACGATAACGTCATCAAGGAAATGATTATTTGCGCCAGGAATATTTTCTGTTCTTATCCTTTTCTCTATGAAGTTGGACGATGCTACCCGAATGATCTCATTTGGATAACGTGTACCGAATATAAGACAAACAGTATCAAAGATAGCGTCATGGATAAATCGGAAGTCCTCTTCTACCTCCTCTACATAGACACCGATCATTTCATCGAGACATGTCTCCACTTTTCCATCGTCACAGGCCTGAATACCGTACACTCTCATGATTGTCTGGATTTTTGTCCGGTCCTGGTCACAACACGGCGTGAACTGGTCAAACACTGCTCGCGGAAGTCTGCCGTCAAACATCATCACCAGTACCAAGCCACAGAAAGAGTGACCATCGGTGGTGGCCAACATTTGTAACTGATTGTACAAGACAGAAAGCGTCTGATCGAAGTAAACGTCTAATTCCTGCATTCGTTTGTCGTTGCCAAACATCTTACACAGAAGAGGGAAGCCGGGTACATAAGCACTTCCTTTAGTGAAACTTAATTGTGCCGGGAAAAGGCCATGGTCCTGGCAGTAACTGGCTACGATTCTATTTTTTTCGATCATGTTAAGGCGGTATTCCTCTCCGGAGAGGTCGATAAGATTCTCCTTATAAGAAGGACATTTATGCAAAAGTGACTGACATTTCATGTAAACATGTTTTCTCGTTGTAATCAGAAGTTTACACTTGTCCAGTTTGACAAGACTTTCAATCTTATCATGAAGTCGCGTCCATGTTTCCAAAAGTCTGCTATTCACTGTTGGTGTTCCGAAGGCGTCGTCCACAAAATATACTATTTGTTTATCGTCGTCGTAAATACGTTCTATGAGGGCCGGATCGGATAACACAATGATAGTAGCTCCTTCGTTCCGGAGACGGGTCAGCAAGTTAACAGCAATGGTAGACTTGCCATCACCGGGGTTTCCCATCAAAGTAAGCGTTCCTTTTGTGGAAAGAAGTTCCAACGCCACTCTAGCAGCCCTGGTATTGACAAAAAGCTTTTTGTCTTTAACTTGGAACTCTAGAAATCTCTCGCTCTGATCTGTAAATACAAGTTGAAGAATTTAATCTACTTGTACTTCATATTAATTTTAGTTAATTTCCAAGAGCATTCCTAAAGTGGACTGCTTGTATGTAAAATTCTCAATATTAACACCTTTTCTGTCTTTAAAATGTAACTTATATTGATTAAGGTTATGGACAGGTCTACGGTCGTGATCTTAAATGGAACTATGCTATTTTGTTATTGTGTTCTTCAGAGACACAGTGTCCCTTCCCAGGTCATGAATGTGAGGGCAAGGCATTACTTCGATTTGACCTAGATTTACATGGCGGATGTCATCGATGAAGTAGAAGACGTTTACCCTTCTGGAACATGTAAACCTGTATCCACAAAACTGTTCAAGCCAAATTCCTGGTCCCAGTGATCACATTTATAGTCATTACATTTCCCCAGTGATTTAGACGAATTCGAGAGATACTTCGAGCCAAATATCGTCTATACTTTGGATATCACTAACAAATATATATTTCAAATATTGCTCATGTCACCCATTTGTGACACAATACGGACAAGATAAGCATAAATACCATCAGGTGGTTGCTCTGCAATATAGAGTTATCTGTCCAATTAGTACTTACCAAGGAACATCTGCATGTCGCCCTGTGCTTGACCAAAACGGATCTTTTTCACCTCGGCATTAAAGACGGAGAGCTTTTCATTTTGATTGTTGAATAGGCTACCATCATCCGGCTCTGTACGAAAAACAAACTCTTCATTTAAATTAAGACCACACAAACCGTTGTTATCTATGTAAGGTAGAAGGTCCAACGTTTGTTGACAGATTGATTGATACACTCTTAGGTTACGATTTTAATGCTATCACAACCAGCTAAGTCATTTCCTTTTAACCACGAAACATTAAGCATATTTATTTAATGGTCTCAATGTCAATCAATATTTTTGGTTTATAGTTTGTCCTAGTTTAATCGATTTTGAATCCAAATTCTGTTAACACTGGTATAAGTTTAGAATGTTTGAAAACTGCTATCGATGTAAAAAAAATAACCTGTCATACCATCAAACTCGCAGTTAAGTTTCTGTACTAGGTCATAGCGATCAACTCCTGTGAAGGACCGTATCAACAGCGGAAGTGGGTTGATATGATGTTTCAAGGCAGTCTCGTGCCATTTGACCAGCATGGAGGCGACACATTGCGGTGTGTTGTAGGGAAAAGCTGCCCGGAGATGGTCCAGCTGGGAGTCACTGAAGCCGAGCTCGTAGGCGAGTAGACACCATTCCTTACCGATATCTAGCGACAGCTGACCCAGATCTGTACAAAAATGGTTATGTACAAGGCTGGATTCCTATTCCACAGAAATTCTCATTAGCGGATCACGTCAATCTAAGAAGATATGCTCTGAGGGCTTTGTTATGCATCATTGATCTATATTACTACGTTGTTTACACCCATAATACACCGAAGATTAATAAAACCAACGACCCATTAACAAACCATGACGCCTGTATAACCCATCACCACACCTGCTATCATTTAATATCCCCCAACATCCTCATTACACCCGGTATCATTTAATATACCCCCAAAATCCTCATCACACCGGGGATCATTTAATATCCCCCAAACACCCTCATCCCACCCGGTATCATTTAACTTCCCGCCTACATCCTCATCGCACCCGGTATTATTTAATATACCCCCAACATCCTCATTACACCCGGTATTATTTAATATACCCCCAACATCCTCATCACACCCGGCATCATTTAACTTACCGCCTACATCCTCATCACACACGGTATCATTTAATATGCCCCCAACATCCTCATTCCACCCGGTATCATTTAATATTCCCCCAACATCCTCATCGCACCCGGTATCATTTAATATACCCCCAAAATCCTCATCACACCGGGGATCATTTAATATCCCCCAAACACCCTCATCCCACCCGGTATCATTAAATATACCCCAAAAATCCTCATCACAACCGGTTTCATTTAACATACCCCCCAAAATCCTCATCACACCGGGGATCATTTAATATCCCCCAAACACCCTCATCTCACCCGGTATCATTTAATATACCCCAAACCCCCTCATCACACCCGGTATCATTAAATATACCCCCAAAATCCTCATCACACCCGGTTTCATTTAACATCCCCCCAACACCCTCGTCACACCCGGTATCATTTAATATACCCCCAAAATCCTCATCACACCCGGTTTCATTTAACATACACCCCAAAATCCTCATCACACCCGGTTTCATTTAACATCCCCCCAACACCCTCGTCACACCCGGTATCATTTAATATCCCCCACACACCCTCATCACACCCGGTATCATTAAATATACCCCAAAAATCCTCATCACACCCGGTTTCATTTAACATACCCCCAACACCCTCGTCACACCCGGTATCATTTAATATCCCCCAAACACCCTCATCACACCCGGTATCATTAAATATACCCCAAAAATCCTCATCACACCCGGTTTCATTTAACATACCCCCCAAAATCCTCATCACACCCGGTTTCATTTAACATACCCCTCTAATACCCTCAACACACCTGGTATCATTTGATATACCTCTCTAACATCCTTATCACACCCGGTAACATTTAATATATCCCCCACGCCCTCATCACACCCGATATCATTTACTTTTCCCAAAACAGCCTTATCAAACCAGGAATCATTTAATGTACACCCCATTAAATATAACCTCTAAACATCCTCAGCACATCGGTATCGTTTAATATACCCCCAACATCCTCATCACACCCGGTATCATTTAATATACCCCCAACATCCTCATCACACCCGGTTTTATTTACCATACCCCTCTAACTCCCTCATCATACCCGATATAATTTAATATTCCCCCTAGACCCTCATCGCATCCCATCCTAGCCGTTTGGCATACCCTATCACCTCATCACAGCCTGAAAGGTTCAGTATACTTCTATACGTTTGGGTACATCTTTCTGCGTGTTAACATTTTTAATTTCTCTGAAGGGTGATTTGTTTTGATAGGAACTAGTCTTTTTATTAAAAAGTGTCTGAGATCCAACAGGTGAATCTACCTGTGCAACTTACCTGTCGTAACTCAAGTACATTTATACTACATGTAATACTTGTACTTACATATGCTATTATTTTTGTAAATTATGGAATAATTGAATAAATAAATAAACTAGAACATAAAATCAAAGATGGGTCCGATTTTATTAGCATTCCAGAACTAAAGGAAATTATTATGTTCGTAAAAGTCTATGCTAAAAAGTATCATCCGAGCTTGTTGAAATCTTAAAATTGTGTCAAATCTGGAACTTTAAAATATGTTGATGAATTTCGAATGGGAACTTATCTCTTCAAGTTGCATTGGTCAATTTTCCTTCCTGTTTTTTTATATACATTTTATAAATGAATTTATATGCATTTTACATTTCTTTAAAAAAAATCACCAGTGCTTAATGTTTGCTAAAACATTTCAGTTTTCATCATGCATGCATGTCCGGTCCAGCACACTTTGCCCATTGAACTATATACCTGTACAATAACTATATAACTATATCCACCTACAGTTTTGAGCTAAGATTTGAGCTTTCGTATTAATAAAGCAAATTTACTGTGGAATGTTGACTACGAAAAGTATACACATAGATGTGTATTTTTAGTTTTCATAAATGTTAATTTCAGACGAATACTTTCATTTCGTGTCTTATGTGATTCAAATTATAATATTTTTTTAACTTTCAGTCGTTTCTTTTTAAAAATAAAAATTGTATGAACATAGCTCAAAATACCTATCAGGATAGGTCGATAGGCTGTTATAGGTCTGCATGGCTGTATGGTTCTGTTAACACAGTGTACAGATCGGTTTATAATTGTAACCTCATTTAATATTTTTTTCTTAGTTGTTTATTCAAATGATTACACCAATGTTGAATAACACATTTTTAAGCTCACTTTGATTTCAAAATGAAATGATAAATAACGTTTTTAGAATCATTAAGCACAGAAACTGGAATATTTCATTCTAATTAATTTCATTTTTTTCCCCTTCAAGAATATAAGGAAACACTTCAGTACTATAGATGCTACAACAAAAAACGGTAAATATAAGCCATTGATGCTTCATATGGACCACAGACCTCGACAGCAATCTAATTCCGTGTATAGTTAAATATAGCAGAAGTAATGTCAGACAGTGTGTGGTATGAAACACAGGTAAACCTAATGTAGTCGCAGGTAAAATGCAGCATTTACGAAACAGTATTTAATTGACTTCACATCGTTTCATAAAACAATACCTGTCTAATGTTGGGGACTATTTTGGCACTAAGAGAACCCTCAGTCCCTTACGTCCTCCCAAAATCACACACCTTACTCTACATCATATCCTGGTATACTTCACATTCCGATCTAGGTACGTCACTGAGCATATCATTTGACAGCGTGTATACGGTCTAATGGATTCTCACCTGTGTATAAAGCTATACGGTATACTTACATTTAACGTCCATTCTTGACCGGAAGTGGTCTACTGATGTCCAATGTTGTCATTTTTGTTAGAGAATCATCGTCAGGTTGTCTGTATTCGTGCGTTAGCTCCGTCCTGGTGTTTGTCCGGATGGTAGAATCTGACCTGAAACATAAACCTGGCTGGTTTATAGGATAATCAACAAAAGCAATCCCGGTTCAGGCTCACGCATTTTATCTGCTTCCTGTTTTGCCCGAATTCGGAGTTACTGGAGTAAGACTTGGAGTGACACTCGGTGTGACTCTAAATAGGGAACCGGTTCGTTTCCTTACTAGTCGCCAGTGAGAGCATGTGTTGTTATCTAGTTGTTCGAGCGCATTGGAGCGTGGCGGTTATCTTCCGTAACCAGCTTTCAGTACGTTATGTGACCCCTCAGCTCAAATATACATTTATTCAGCGTAATAAATATGTACCTGATTCTAGTACTCTGTACCCCGTACCCTGTAACCCGTCGTACCCCGTACCCTGTAGCCCGTACCCCGTAACCTATAACCCGTACCCTGTAACCCGTACCCCGTACCCTGTAACCCGTTGCCTGTAACCCGTACCCCGTACCCTGTAACCCGTACCCTGTACCCTGTAACCCGTACCCTGTAACCCGTAACCCGTACCCCGTACCCTGTAACCCGTACCCTGTAACCCGTAACCCGTACCCCGTACCCTGTAACCCGTTCCCCGTACCCCGTACCCCGTATCATGTTACCCGTACCCCGTACCCTGTAACCCGTACGCTGTAACCCGTACCCCGTACCCTGTAACCCGTACCCCGTACATGTTACAAATTATGGTAATCATAGCAGCGGAGAAAAACGCAGTAGTGCCCACAGTAATATCATAATTGTGTCAATTTCTTAAAAGATGCTAAATTACCAAGAGGAAATAATATAAAAAGTATTAAAATAATTGTATACAGGATTTGATAAAGCGCCCTATCCAGCTAACATAAGCCACTCTAAAGCGCTTTACAGTACATTAATCTATACAATTTTGAGGAATTCGCAGGAGCTGCCTTATCAGGCGCTTACTACTAGTCCTATATGCCACCTGGCTAATATCTCCCTAAATGTGTATGACTGCGTGTGTGCTGGAGATGTAATGGGTTTTTTTTCAATTCAAATATACTGCCTATAAAATGAGTAAAAACTACTTACCTTGCAATATCGGCACGTCTGTGAAAATCCGAGATAATCGCGAATCAGCGAGACAGCACTAGAGAGTGAGGGCACGATATCCGATCACTTATTGATATGAAAAACCCTTAATTCGTATGAAATAGGTTCAACTTTTATGAAAAATATATCATTGATAAAAACAAAATTCATTTCTATAATATTGTGTCGCAATGTACCTATCTGGAAAAAAAGAACGTTGATGATTCCGTTTGTTGTCCCCTTATTCTGATTTTGTAGGCCTACCACAGTGTACTGAGTTCTGAGTACATGTAACGTGATCAACTCTTTATATCTCACAGACATCTGGGCGCTTCCACGTGTGACGTTTTCAACAGTTTCAACTTCGTGTCAAAGAAAGCTTGTAAATTAATATAAAGTTTTGTCATCAACCTGTACATATTCTGAATTAAATCTTCTATCTGTAGCCATTCATCAACATATTGGTTCAACAAACGGAATGTCTAAGGTAGCATAGATATAGAGTATAGTTAATGAATAATATAAAGTATACATAAAATACATTAATAATTAATATGAAAAACAGTTAGTTGACGTTAAACATGACAACTTGATATGAAATATGATGAATTGATACAAACAATATCAATTTGAAACATGGTAAATTACATGCCATACAATCAATTAATAGAAATCATTTTAATTGGCATAAAACAATATGATCCTATAAAATTCCAAACGTGGTGAAATTAGTTTAACTTCCACTTCAAATACTTGGTGATTGCATTTCCAGAAAATCAAACGAGTTATCTTTCTTGAACTGATATTGTTGACGTGTCATCATAAAATGTTGTGACTATGAAAGCCCTTATCTTTACCCTTGGGTAAGACAGACAAAACATTGCTGACCAGAAGTGCCATATGTCTAATGGGGACGGAAAAGAATTAATGGCATCATGAATTCAAACTGAATAGGTGATATTCATATAGTTAATCGGTGATACGCCTTTGATTAATTGAAGATGTCAGTTAAATTAACTGACTGCCATTATAATGAATCGATGATAATTATCATCATATTGAAATTTAAATGAAATAAAGAGTAAAGCGAGCCAGAAAATGTAAACCTACATATTTAGCGACACTCTTGTCTAGGCGCCATTTCTTTTGGGTTCGAAATACTGCCCTTACCTATAATTGCGCTTAATGCAGTTTCGATTTATTGTTTTATGTTTCATTACATATATTTCACGGAGCATAGCGCTAAAATTTGAGTGCGCCAAAACAAGAACGTTTACAGTGAAAACAAACAATACAACACATACAGAATATAACCATACACACAGTTAATTAACAGTGTAAGTCATCTCTAATGTTTACAGTAACGATGCTCTTTGAAGCCCACTCTTTCTCGTTCGATGAACCAACCACGTATTCCGTCTTTGCGTATTGCAGAGTTATCTTCTCTTGAGAACAGGTATTGATTGTTACGTCATTGGTTTGTGAGAGGAACGTCATCAATTTTTGAGAAAATGACGTAATTTTCTCACACAAACCAATGACGTAACAATCGATACCTGTTCTCAAGTGAAGATAACTCTGCAATTCGCAAAGACGGAATTGACACATGTACTTGATGGATGAAACAATTGTGTAGTGTTAGTGATGATGGTATGATACGTCGTGTTTACTTCCAACGTAGCCTCGTGGCGAGATGTACACCACCTCACTAATTTATGATGTATGCGTCAATACAGAGGCATTCCTGATAACCATTTCATTGAAACACACTGAAATGTACGAAAGGTAGGACCTATTGAATTTTTCAAAAATGAAATCCTATATTAATCCTTATATAATCAACGAACAATTAAACTTGTTTCAAACCTCGACGTTTTTCGAAGGAATACCAAGAAGTGGCGATAAGTGCGTACTCACGTCTACAAACTTCGCCTCGGAGGATGTAACCTTCATTACACGTATCGCATTTGCCGTTTTGACAGGAAACTCGCCTTACTTCAGCACAGTTTGGGATGGAATCATTCCAGTAACAATCTACAAACAAAGTATGCACAACAGCAGTAAAAAAAGCGTTGATAACCAAAGTTTAAGTTATCTCGGTAATGACATCAAAGTTAATGGTAGCTATGTACAGCAACAATCAATTAAGCGTTAACAACCAAAGTTGAAGTTATCTCGGTAATGCTATCTAAACACAAAGGTGGTTTTGTAAAGAACAATATACCGATGAAACGTAAATAATCAGAGTTTGAGTTATTCCAATCATACTATACCGAAGTCCGAAGTTAGATAGTTCCAGTAATAAAGTCAAAAGGTAGGTTATTGCAGTGATATGACATTCAGGGACTTGTCGTTCGAGTAGTGCTATGAAGCCATATCGATGTATAAAATCAGAAGATTGGCCATTTCAAAAATAATGGATATTATATATTATATACAGTCGAGGAGACCAATTATATAAATATAACTCATACTCAGAGAGTTGAGCGTCCATGATGGTTTACTGTCGTCCGCTGGTTGGTCGTTCTGTATCCAGCAGTTACACTCAAATGTATATGGGCGACCATTGTCATCCTCCAGAACCACCTATACAGAGGACATATGGATGTAAGCGACATAAGGTATGTAAATCACTATTCCAAACAGTTAACATTTTAGAAAATTCACGGAAAAAGTAAATTTTTGTGTTTGGGTTAGATCACATGACTTTTACCGTAAACTTTATATAAACTTCATATTTAAGCTAAAAACTTGTTGAAGACTTTAACGAGAAACTGATATATCAAATTACACATCAAATTAAACATGTACAACATGTGTTTATTACTTTTAATTGATCGATTAGTTAACTCTACGTTAAAACCCATGCCAAGGTCGTTAATTAGGTCATAGCGCAGGCCCGTGAGGCATTTTGAAGTTTCTAAGCCTATGCACTGAAGATTCTTTAGGGGTGCTACAAATATCAGTAAGTTCGGATTGGATCGAGCTGTGGAATATTTCCTCTGTTCCGGAAACACTTTTTGTTCTATTAGGTTTTCAGTTAGATCACCTATACTCATGTTCTAATAGGGTTTCAGTTAGATCACCTATACTCATGTTCTATTATGTTTTCAGTTTGATCACCTATACTCATGTTCGATTAGGTTTTCAGTTAGATCACCTATACTCATGCTCTATTAGGTTTTCAGTTAGATCACCTATACTCCTGTTCTATTAGGTTTTCAGTTAGATCACCTAGACTCATGTTCTATTAGGTTTTCAGTTAGATCATCTATACTCATGTTCTATTAGGTTTTCAGTTAGACCACCTATACTCATGTTCTATTAGGTTTTCAGTTATATCACCTATTCTCATGTTCTATTAGGTTTTCAGTTTGATCCCCTATACTCATGTTCTATTAGGTTTTCAGTTTGATCCCCTATACTCATGTTCTATTAGGTTTTCAGTTTGATCCCCTATACTCATGTTCTATTAGGTTTTCAGTTTGATCGCCTATACTCATGTTCTATTAGGTTTTCAGTTTGATCGCCTATACTCCTGTTCTATTAGGTTTTCAGTTAGACCACCTATACTCATGTTCTATTAGGTTTTCAGTAAGATCACCTATACTCATGTTCTATTAGGTTTTCAGTTATATCACCTATTCTCATGTTCTATTAGGTTTTCAGTTAGATCATCTATACTCATGTTCTATTAGGTTTTCAGTTAGATCGCCTATACTCATGTTCTATTAGGTTTTCAGTTAGACCACCTATACTCATGTTCTATTAGGTTTTCAGTTGGATCACCTATACTCATGTTCTATTAGGTTTTCAGTAAGATCACCTATACTCATGTTCTATTAGGTTTCCAGTTAGATCACCTATACTCATGTTCTATTAGGTTTCCAGTTAGATCACCTATACTCATGTTCTATTAGGTCTTCAGTTAGATCACCTATACTCATGTTCTATTATGTTTTCAGTTAGATCACCTATTCTCATGTTCTATTAGGTTTTCAGTTATATCACCTATTCTCATGTTCTATTAGGTTTTCAGTTTGATCACCTATACTCATGTTCTATTAGGTTTTCAGTTAGATCACCAATAATCATGCAAATATAAAGAAATTAACGACATACTGTGGTGCACTTCAATTTAACAATGACTTTTCTTGGCTTGTATTTTGTGACATTTCCTAAGTCTTTTATAGGATTTGACAGGCAGGTCTTCTTACTAAAGTGGAGTTTTACATCAGCGGAAAACGTTTTACTCGGATTTTATTGTTCTCCTTCTGGTATTTCAATTAAATAAATGATATATACGATAACCTGAAGCATCAAATAATCCGAAATCAGAAAAATCTTAACAGAATATATAAAGGTGTTTGTTTTATCAATTCTTGTATGGGTGTTATGTTTGGGCTGGATGTTCAAAAACTGACGTAGAACTGCTACACAATGAAATGTTTGCTCTCCTATGCTGGTAGAGATCTGTACACTCAGGAAGTGGGTGAGAGACAATAGCTCCGAAACGAACCCGTAAAAACCAACATCTTTTCTTTCATGTCATTGTACACACCCTCCTGAAAATGCACAGTATTTTTGGGTTGCATGTAACGGAATTCGAAGAAACATTCTCTTGAATAAGTTAAGGGACTCGGACGATAACTCTTTGGATGGTTTTGTAGAGAAATGAAGCCTTCTTTATATGTTTACACCTGGTTAAAAGTGTGTAGGAGATCGTTCTCATTGGTTAATATTTTATTCTGGAATCTTCTTTAATATCGCCCCATTGTAATTTGTGGCAGTGGAATTGAGTTTAGACTACGGATAAATAAAATCGAACTTTCTTTAGTAAAATTATTTATGTTGTCCTTTTGGTGTTGTAAAAATCTTTGACGAAACTGAAATCTTAAAAATATTCTAAAATCTAATTCTTTTTCAACTAATTGAAAAATGCTTTTCATAAAGCACCAGTCAAAGGGACATTACTCTTGTTAATGCTTCATGTAATACAGATTCACTATGCAAACAGTTGTTGTCAAGGTAACAAAGCAAGAGATAAGTTATAAAATAAACAAACAAAGAAACATTCTGTAAAAAAAAGTTAGGGATCAAAACTTGACCCAACAGTTTACAAGACGTAAAATAATACAACGGGACATAAGCGATGTAGGACTTAAAAAAGGAAAATTTATAGCACAATATGATCATAAAGTAGGCGACTAATAAAGACGAAAATTTTGACAAATAACAGATTCAAACAGATAAACAGATAAAAGTTAAAAGGATTAGATAAAACATATGAAAAGATCCAGTGTGATATTAAGTGCCTAATTGTATTGGTATTTATGGAACTATGTTACATTTTATATTAGATAATATTATATTATTTATAAATGTAACACTAATTTAAATAAAATCTACCAGAAAAAGGTACCTGCCAAATTAAAAATTAGAATTGAAATCAAAGCAGAAACAATATCCAACGGGAAATATATGCGGTAAAAGTTCGTGAGCGTGGATTTTTTTTTTTTTTTTTTTAACTTAAAAAAAGGTGTATTATACATGGAATACCTTAAAATCAGCCAATCATTGATTATATCAATGAGGACTTCTGTGGCATAAGTAGGACAGCGATTTGTACACATAGCGTACCTTTTGAACACGCATCCCATCATTCCTTGTCTGGTATAAGCGGATAATGTTGATTTTTCCAAAATCTCCATCTAGATCAATTCGTCTTATCTCACCAGGTCGGAAATTGTTGCCGAGGTTTATATTGGGAAGGCTGTTAGCTGTACCTTGCACGTCCAATAGGAGTGTGTCACTAGATGCAGAGTACTCCCTAGTACCAATGAAAACACTGACATGCCATAATGCACCTGATAAAAGAACAAATCTAGGATATGATTATAACGTAGCAGGCTTATCATCACAAGGATCGTCAAAACCTACAGAGGCACCTAACATCCAATGTCAATGACATGCGAGGATTCATCATAATCTACTACAAAGTCATCAAACACTTAATGTTAAATCAAACGAGGATTCGTCATAATCTACTGCAAAGTCATCAAACATCTAATGTTAAATCAAACGAGGATTTGTCATAATCTACTACAAAGTCATCAAACATCCAATGTTAAAATCATACAAGGATTTGTCATAATCTACTACAAAGTCATGAAACATTTGCCCGACACAATGAAATATGATATTGATTAAATCTTCGCCCGGTCAATGGTATAGGACTGATATTTATTAATTATTTACCCCTTCTATGTAATATATCTTATAGTTATTTACCCCTTCTATGTAATATATCTTATAGTTATTTACCTCTTCTACGTAATATATCTTATAGTTATTTATCCCTTCTATGTAATATATCTTATAGTTATTTACCCCTTCTATGTAATATATCTTATAGTTATTTACCCCTTCTATGTAATATTTCTTATAGTTATTTACCCCTTCTATGTAATATATATTATGGTTATTTACCCCTTCTATGTAATATATCTTATAGTTATTTACCCCTTCTATGTAATATATCTTATGGTTATTTACCCCTTCTATGTAATATATCTTATGGTTATGAAATATCTGTCTCACTCAATGGAAAACAACTAACATTCATTAAAATAATAATAGTTGTCCAGTTGTGGCCATGTAGAGATTACTGAAACACTCACCTTGGCTGGTCTGTATACCAACGACTACTCCCAGGAAAAGCAAGTGCAAAGTCGGCTTCATATCGAACCGTTCCACCACCTCCACCTTAAATGGAAAAATTTATCACATCTCCAAAACACAAGTGTAAAAACCGAATTCACAGCCCACCGGAAAAGTAAAAAAAATAAAGAGACAGCAAACTAAGGGTTAACAAATGCTCTTCCCCAAACCTAAAAAGGATGAAATAAATGAATGATGTTGAACTAGGTTGTCCTCTTCCACAAATGTTACCTTTTATAATACCCCCCCCCCCCCCCCCCCCCCCCCCCCCCCCCCNCACACACACACACACACATACCTGTCTAACGAAAACAGTACCATTTCTTAAATAATTATTAAAATAAAGGGATCACCTTTCCAAGCTTGGCTTGTCGATGCAGAAAGTAAAAAGCATAACCTTTTTACTGCATCTTAAGGCCATTCCATCAAGAAAATTGAAAACCATGAACTAAATCATCCGAAACACACGTAGAAATAAAGCGAATGAGGGAAGTAAGGTTTAATGATATACAAAAACAAAATCATACATACAAGTGTTGACAGCTGTTCTGGCTGTGTCAGTGGGGGAAAAAATTAACAAAAACTAAATCTACAAGTTTGGACAATTGTAATGATAAAAAATAACTTAATCGAAATCTACAAGTATTGACAACTGTAATGATTCAAATAAACAAAATCAAAATGTACAAGTTTTGACGACTATACTGGCTGTTTCAGTGAGATAAAACGGACAAAATCAAACCTATAAATGTTGACAACGATTGTTCTGGTGAGGTATAATGCTAGAATGCGCCCAGTCAATGAACAAAACCAAACCTACCTTGTCGATGATAATGGTGTACTGACTGTTCTGCTGTGTTGGAGGAATGTCAAGTGCCACGTCAGGCACACACTGTATTATACAGGGTACTCCCGTCTCCTTCCGTTTTAACGGATGTTTTACAGCTAAAGATCAGTCTTACAACACACTCTCCTACATTTAATAATATAACGGATGTCTGATGACAACCGATACAGTAGTAGGCATTGAAGATTAATATTTGTGGCGACATGAAAACTGAGGTATTTTAATTGTTATGTGGACACAGTTATTTAAGGGTTCGTATGTGTTCGTGTACTTTGCTAATTTTCATATTTGCCTAACACGTGTTTTAGGGTTCTTTCCTTTTTATTTCGATCCATGACAAGACTGGCCAGACATAAAGAATAGTCAGGCTGACATTGACACCCTACACAAATAACACTTGCAAACATAATACATACAAATACTGCAGATATACATGTACAGAGATATACATTTCAATATCCTTGTCAAATCTACAAAGACTTATCTTTACTTTTGTATTGAAAGAATTACTTTTATAATGAATCTTCTCTTAACATAATTTATCAAATATCCTAACTCTACATGTATCATAATTCATTATAATTTAACTTTAGGAATAACATGTAAGTAATTACTTGTCAAGCAATAACATTTCATACAAAAAGGGCTTTAAATGATGAAATACATTCACAGTTACTTTTACAAACAGTACACATACTTTAAACCCACAAATAAAATCAACATTATTAGAAAATAAACATTGCACAAATTCACATAGCCCATTTATGGAATGGGGGCACTTTCCACTGGGACTTGGGACTCATTTCAAATGTTTCCCTCCAGCTGTCCTCAGAGTGATATACAATGTAGATCAATATTCTAGAAAAGAAATACAGAACAAATTATAATCAAATGCTTTCGATTTGATAAAATGCAATACTTTACTTTTGTCAAATAGCATTAATTCGATTAGTTACACACATTTAGAAATACAAAATATCACTCTCTATTGATGATCTTAAAATCTGCACATACCTTTGTTCTCTATTTTGACTTCTATAATACATCGTATGTATCCCCCAACCAACATCCATTACTTTGATAGAATAATGTGAAATAGGAACACTTGGAAACTTTTGGTAACCTGTGCGAACAGATAAGTAATCCGTGCGCACTGTTTGGTAACTCGTGCGCACGGTTTAGTAATCCGTTCGCACGGGTTGGTAATCCGTGCGCACGGTTTGGCAACTCGTGCGCACGGTTTAGTAATCCGTGCACACGGTTTGGTAATCCGTGTGCACGGTTTGGTAACTCGTGCGCACGGATTAGTAAATGTTTTACCATGTCCCTTCGTGGATTCCGTATTACACAGCTCTCCTCGAAATCTTCTTTTCTACTGACTTTTGGCGGCAGAAACCCTGACATGACTATAATTCTAGCTGTGACCCCCAAGGACCAATACAATTACAGAATACAGACACACCTAAAAACTGACCAACGGAAATAACTATATAAATAGACAAACAGGTGGACATAACCTAAAACTGGACAGAACCGGCATTTACATAAGCTTATACTCACCTGTCTGGGTCCTGCCTCAGGGCATGTTACAGGGAAGGTATACTGTAGGTCTTCTATAATACATATGTATATATACAAATGTATATTGAAAAGAGACATTTTACAGCCCGCACTCGTGTTGTAGATAGTATGGATATAATGCCATCTGTTTCAACTTTCAACCGTCATAATTTCAACATATTTCCAGTAATCCGGAACAGATGTGAATATTTGAAACGAGGCAGCGAACGTATGATTTTTTTTGATCGTTGTGCTTTAATAAACAGCAATAGACAACCTAAATTCTTAAACGTATTCTAACAATAGATTAAGGTTTGAAAGTAATCATCTAAATGCATGTATATCAAAATGTAATACACCTCGTTGTGGTACTACTTGTAACCGTATTAAACAACGAAGTGATGTTAAAGTTCAAAAATGGTTTTAACTTAAAAAACCCATATGAATTGTAAGTCTAGTAATGTAATCTACGCATTGATTTGAAGCAATTGTTCTGAATTTTATATATCGGTTAAACGGGCGGTGAGCTACGAACAATAATGCCAGCACATAGACAACAGATACGAACAGACAGCTTAAGATTTTACACGTTAGTAAACACTCACACAATTGTGCTGATGACAATTTTTAGATATTTCCTATTTATCAAATAAACAATGCAAACGTATTTCAAACGTGAGGCTAAGGAAGCTGAATTCATCAAACTTCTTAGACCCATTTTTAACAGTAATGTTTGAATAACATTTTAAAGTGTTCTTACTGCATGTAACGTTTAAGGTAACGCTCAGTTTTCTATGTGTTGGTTACTTTGCATTATCGCTCAAATTTTATCGAAACAAACACTGAAATGTCTCACTTATACAGATAATTGTTTTTCACATTAGCTTTAAATCATATCATGACAACTACCACGGAATTAGTTATCTAAGTCCGTGCAACTACGCAATACAATATATGTCCCGTACACTGGCAGTCCTCGCACTCGGCCTTTCCGTACAACAACCACGTAGCTAAACACGTTTAATAAAGTGCATATACCTGTACACTTTGTTAAAATTGGTAACTTATCAATTCGGGTAATATTAATAACTAATTAGTATTGTGCAAAGCTTATATTCTCGTTGTTAGCCCTATCCGGATACACACAACCGTCAACACACTATTACTCACGCCACATAAAAACTTTCCGGAATCCGCTACCCGGCACACCGTTTTTTCGTTATCTAGCCCGAGTGTCAATAGCCACTCCGTAAAAGGCTTAATTAAAACAAGTGGAGAGCAGATTTTGAAGGACTCAAAAAACAATTAAATTAAAAAAAAAAAATGGTTGTAAAGCTTAAGGAATAAACTTGAAATTCAAAATGTGTTGCATTTGCGATGTCTAAGTCTTGTTCAAAATTTAGGTTAAGAGGTTCGGAAAAAGATTGATTTTTTATGTAGGTATGTGGGATATGTAAGTATGTGAGATATGGATATGTAGAATTGAGTGTCAGAACGTCGGTAACGAGTCAGTCATTATGTAGGTATGTGGGATATGTGGGTATGTGGGATATGTAGGTATGTGGGTTATGGATATTTTCCCCGAATGTGTAGAATGTGGGTCACAGCTGAGGCTTTGGAGATTTTCTGACACCAAATTCTGCATCCGAGTGTTACATATATACAAATCTTGTTTACCTACATATGATAGACTCTCATTGTTTTAACAGTAAGAGTTATCACAATTGTGTATTAATATTGAAGTATGCATATCATGTTCGGTGGGTAGCTCACGGTAAGATGGCTGAACATAATCTTATGCAGTTTGTTAAAAGTCTTAACCACTACGGCACAATATATATCATACGTTTATCTTGAATTCGCGTTAAAGGGAACGACACTAAGGCTGTCCTGCACAGTGGCACTGTACGTGTGTATGTGTTTGTGACATATTGACGTTCAATACATTGTGATTACAGACCGTATATCCTACACTTCCTGTCAGGAACTTCAATGACCTAGCCGGGACTCAAAAGGGCGCAGATTGGGGATAACGAGACTGTGGAATTACTTGTTTTGGACTTTTACTTGTTTTGGACTTAAAAAGGCCAGTGTCGAACTATTGTTGACCTCTGACGGAGGTCTAACGGTACGGTAAACCACGCCCTAAATCAAGACATAGGTAAGTGTGCAATGTAGTTTAAACAATATCTGCAGACACGAGGTATTTGAAGTAAGTTTGATATGGTAATAATTTGAAGATATTTATCGCTACACAACGACCACCTGTGTTAAATCTTGTTTTGATACAATACAGGGAAGCAGGCGAGTTAACACTGGTTTGATGCTGGGTATGAAAGGTTCTTGTATATTCATCGTTAACTATTGATCACACGGCAAAAGTATATATAGCATTTAACCGACTAATAGATTTAAGGTAAGCGTTTATTATTATGTAAAATGTTAATATGTTTACTCAGCATGAAATTTAGTCTTCTTGGTTAGTTATTTGTAAATCGAAATGGTTTCCGATTCTGTGGACAAATGAACGTGTCGTATCAACCTTACTTGTCATAACAGTAAACAGCTGTGTTTTACCTATCTTAGTTATGTCCACTGCCAGATGTCCACGTGTTCCTGACAATAAGGTATATGTCACCCGCATACTTAAGTTGTCCTCACTATCGCGGCCTATCTAACCCGCCTAGTGTACACTTATACACCTGTAAGTATCTCCATTAATAACGTTTTGGTGGAACACTTTAAATAGTATACATTAGCTCGTGGTCAGTCACTTCCTTTATAATGTGTTTAACAAAAACTGACCTGCTGAATACATAACAGTCCAGTTCATTTTTATAAATAGAAGGTTCCCTGCTTCGGTGAGTATGACAGGGTACAGCCAATAGTTACAGACTGTTTGTAATACATGTACACCTGTCTATACTGATTGTGATTTACGTTCACCGCTTGCATTGTCAGGTAAGCATTTCTTTATTTAATCTAGTATAACATGCTCCCGCATCCTTCCCAGATTTGAATTTGTTACCTCATTCATCTGGCTTAGTGTATCTACTAATGTTAAGGGTTAAAATAAGGGAAGCTATTGATAAACATAGGTATATTGTCATAGTGCGTACACACGGGGACATATACTGTTGTATTGTGGGCGGATTGGTCGAGTGGTTAACACTACGGCCTTCCACGCAGACGGCCGGGGTTCGATCCTCGAAGTCGTCGTACGCATGGAATATCCGAGAAAGAGTTTCTCTCCTGCCCACACAACTCCAACAACCCAGGTGGAGTATAAAGCGGTCTGGGGTGGATGTAGCGGTATCTGTGCTGCAGCATTCAAGTGAGGTGGCACTATAAAAGATGCCGTTGGAAGCACGGTCCCATTACAAAACAGAACACAATACATCGCCAGCACACACGCAGGCATACACACATAGGGAGATATTAGCCAGGTGGCATAGGACTAGTAGTTAGCGCCTGATAAGGCAGCTCCTGCGAATTCCTCAAAATTGAATTAATTAATGTATATGATAATTGTATTAATTGTATAACTATGTACTGTAAAGCGCTTTAGAGTGGCTATGTTAGCTAGATAGGGCGCTATATCAAATGTTGTATATTATTATTTTTATTACAAGCTAACCGGTAATAAGATTTATATATATATATTTGATATGCCGCCGTGACTATTCTCAATAATTATGTTTATTGAAGATTTAAAAGAAACCGTAGTTAGGTATACATGTAGCAAACACTAGTGAAAGCAAGTGTGTTTTCTTTTTTTTTATAAAAGCACTGGATAAATTCTTGAGTGTAATCAGCCCAACAGAACCCAAATATAAGTATTGCATTTTACAAACTGATTTTCTATTCATATAGTAACAGTGATAGAGACCTAACCCCCGGGCCTGGAAAGTTGTCCCAAGCAGGCACTTTCTTTGAGAAAGCACTGTATAAAGTCAAGAGTGTAATCAGCCCAAGAGAAATCAAGATATTGTGCATTAGTGCATTAAACAGATTTTCTATTTATAGTGACCCATTGACCTTTGACCACTGCACCTGAAAAGTTATCCTAAGCAGGCACTTTCTTCCAGGAAGGACTCCATAAAATCTGAGTGTAATCAGTCCAACTGATGTTCTATTTATAGTAAGTGACCTTGACCTTTGATATCAAAGGCTGAAAAGGTTAAGCTATCCAAAAACTTAAGCAAACATTTTATTACACTGGATAAAGTCCATGTATGCACACACACAAGGTTCTACACTTAAAGTTGATAAGTTGACTTTAATATTCATATGCTTTTTTTCTGTATGTTATTACCATCTCCATAACATATTGAATAAAGTTGCTTAGTGTTTAAATTGAATCAGTTGTTGATTTTCTAAATATAGCAACAGTGACCTTGGCCTGACCTTGGAACCCTGAAACACAAGAGTACACCCATATTTGACTATGTATAAAGTTTGACCAAAATCCGTGAAAGAATGAAGTTGCTAAGTGTTTAAATTGAATCAGTTGATGATTTTCTATATGTAGCAAGTGTGACCTTGGATCCCTGAAATACAACGATTTATGAAGTATACTCATACTTAAAACTGTCAAAGAATGAAGTTGCTTAGTGTATACATTGAATCCAGACAGGACGTGACGGACGGGATGATTTTCTATATATAGCAAATGTGACATTGGCCTTGACCTTGGATCCCTGAAATACAAAGATCCGAAGTATACCCATACTTGACCTTTGTACAAAGTTTGACCAAAATCTGCCAATGAATGAAGTTGCTAAGTGTTAACATTGAATCGGGATGCGATGCGTCGCGATGGGACGGGGCAGGACGCCACACCAGGGTAAAAGCTCACTTGTCCTTGGCAGATGAGCTAAAAACAGATAGAAGGACAGACAGACGTAAAATTTGATTACTATAGATGTGCAGGGGTCCTAACAACAAATTGTGTAATTGAATTGGAGAATCCCCCTTTGGGACCCCTCTCCTCCCCCTAGGGAGCCAGGGTATTATGAGAGAGACCCTCTGTTAAATGGCATTCAGTCTTCTTAACCAAGTAATGCTCCAGACCATTGGTTTGAAAACATCATCAAGCCATACAGAAGGACTTCAAAGGATGTACTGTATCAGGTGACTTATGTCCTCGCAACAGCCAGGGTCATATGAGGACGGGTGTCACCTATAGAAGAAAACTGCAATTTGAAGGAAGTGCATGTGTTGACGGAAAAATATAGTTACTTATAAGAATTTCCTATGTGCAAAGGGCTATAACTCCAGAAAAAATAGAACATGGACACTGGATTCTAACTCAAACTGTAATCCATTATCCATGTATACTAAGTTGCAAATAATATGGAAAGTGCAAAAGGGCCATAACTCCAGTCACAAATGGAATTTTAATACATAGTTCCAACTCTGTAATCTATTATGATAAAGCACAAACAAAGTTTCAAATTGATTTGGCAAGCTGTAGCGAAATAAGTCCAAAAAAAAGTTTATTTTGATAATTTCCTATGTGCGAAGGGTCATAACTCAAGCAAAAAAAGGAATATTAACACGGGGTTTGAACTCAAACTTTAATCCATTATGACAAAGCCACATATTCGGTAACAAATTGATGTTGCAAGTGGTAGCGAAAAAAAGTCTGGGAAAACATTAATTATAAGATTTCTTATGTGCAAAGGGCCATAACTCCAGCAACAAATGAAATATTGACACAGGGTTTGGACTCTAACTGTAATCCATTATGATCAAGCCACATACTACCAGTGGCAAGCAGTAACGAACAAAGTATGGCAAACAGTTAATTATGAGAACTTTCAATGTGTGAAGGGCCATACATATAACTCCAGCAAAAACATAAAATATCGTCACGTGGTTGGATCTTGATCTGTAATCTGTTATGATTAAGCCACATACAAAGTTATAAATTGTTATGGTAAATGGTGGCGACAAAAAGTCTGGAAAACTTAAATGTGACTGCCGCCGCCAATGACAACGCGCGGTCCGCCATGCTTCTCAGGCGGCATGACTAATAAGGGAAGGCAGAACAGTGAAGAAAGAAAGGAAAAATGTAAGATCCCAAGTGTGTTGCAATGGGGGCAGAAGATCTATTTTGGTCTGTTCAATGTCCCTCAAGTAGTAGGCATGAAAGAAAATTCCTTTCAGGGGGCCAACTTTTAGCCCCTCCCCCCTTCCCCCTCATGTACATTGTATGTAAATTTTGGTTTGACAGATTTTGACAGATTCGATGACTCAAGCAGAAAACAATTTGAATCATGTCATCTTGAAAAAGAAAGTGAAGGGACATAACTCTTTATGTAGACTCCAATTTATGTAATTTGTGCTGATCTGACAGATCTGTCAATTCAAGATCTATCTGTACACCAAATTCAAGAAGAATTACACATTATTATATGTTTCGCATGTCTGAAATTGTCTGACATTGTTAGTATGGTAAGTTTTAGCAAAACTTCAAAACTATCTAGAATTTCTGGATATTGTTTTCCAAAAACATCAGGAAGAAAATCTAAATTTTATAGAAAGTGGTAGCTATGGGAGCACCCTATATATGTTATAAACATAAAAACATTGGTACCTTGCAAAACAATCAGCAAATTTCGCAAATTCACCAATTCTCAAAGGAAGACAATCAATCATAACTGCACCTAGTACATAGCAAGTGTTCCTAGTTTAAAAACAGAGAGTATGAGTATTACTTTAAACAAATTTTAAATTATATAAGAAATAATTCTCAGGGACACCATCTAAATGAAAATTAATTGATTGATATAACAGTGGAGATGCATAAAAAATCCTCCCCACACGGAAAGTAAAACAAACATTACAGTAAAATGTTCAAACCTGACCTGCAAGGTGTAAAGTTTCACCTTTTGGCCTTGCTATGTAACTTTCAGCTTTCTTGTGCATTTTTAAATATCTTCCATTCTCATCAGATGTATATGAAGTGCATAACAAATAGAAAAATAAAAATATGAATGATAAACTGCCAGAATAAGATGTATAGGAAAGCAAACAAAGGGGCACAACTCATCGAGTTCGTGGAAATCCAGCCCTTCCTTTCTTCTATTTTTAGGATGCTTCTACACCAAAGTCAAATAACTTTGGCTACTTCAACTTCTTACAGGTCAATGACCC